AGGCGGCGCTCTACGGCCATCCGGTCTACGGCTACTCGGCGGCGGCGGCGGCGGCGGCCCTCGCCGGCCAGCACCCCGCGCTGTCCTACTCGTACCCGCAGGTGCAGGGCGCGCACCCCGCTCACCCCGCCGATCCCATCAAGCTGGGCGCCAGCGGCTTCCCACTGGACCAGTGGCTGCGCGCGTCCACCGCGGGCATGATCCTGCCCAAGATGCCGGACTTCAACTGTGAGTACCGAGCCCCCCGTCCCCGGGCCGCGCCTGCCCTGTGCCCTCGGCCCCGCGCGCGGGGAAGCGCAGCGCAGCCCAGGCTCACGGCCGGCGTGCATGGCCACGAACGATCAAGATGGCCACGCGCAGGCCGGGCCTTCTCTTCCTCTCTTAGCGGGAAGGGGCAGCTGGAGGTGTGAGACCGAGATGTAATGATTAACCTGCAGGCTGCAGAAGGAAGTGAGGAAGCGAGGGCGGCGTGGAGCGCCCTGGGAATGAGGGTCAGGGACCCCCGCCCCCGTACACACGGCGTCCATCCCCGGGTTCCCCGTTCTGGGCTCTAGACAGACCCTATCCCTCCCAGGAAAGGGAGACTCCAGGCCAGCAAACGAAAGAAATGCGCTCAGCGAGGTTCTTTGCCGGCAAGCCGTGCTCGGGCGATCCCTGGCCCTTGCCAGGCTCTGCCCTCCTGCGGAAGGCCACGGGATCCCCTGCGATGCCCGCAAGGCCTGGCTCCCGGGCTAAGCAGCAGGTGCCTGCACCAGAAGCCAAGGCATAGTGAGGCATTCCGGGAGGTGCGAGCCAGGAAGGGCCACCCAACCCCAAACCAGGGCGGCTGAGCTGCGGGAAACCTCAAAGAGGCCTGGGTTTGGCTGCCCAGCTCGTCCTCCCGCCTGCGCCCCACCCGGGTCGGCTGCCTCTGGCCAGCGGGGAGCAGAAGATGTGTATAGCTTTATGCCTCCAGCCGCCCAACACCCAAACAAAGAGACCCCATTGTTTCCGTCTGAGTGGATTTGTTTAGACTGGGGAGATACAGGCCTGGGAGGGAAAAAAGGCAAAAGAGAAAACAGAAATAAACACTTGCCAGAATTCAGATTCCTCTGCTAGAAGCCGAGGTTGTGACTAAACAGAGAAAAGCTAAGACCCCAGCGTGCTGGAGAAGTCGCAAGGGGGTGAGAGAATCTCCACTGCCGCCCTCGGCTCTTCCCAGCGGGCTCCAAGGAGACCCTGCTGGTCAGTGTCCCTTCCCTCTGAGACGCAGAGGGGAGGCTCCCCCACGCCGGACATCTCCGTGGCTTGCTGATCGGTGCCCCAAAGCCAGAGCACCCTGTGGGTCTGGTCTGGGAGTCCAGGGGAGCACTCTGCGGAAAGCCGCCCTATGACCTGAGTTCCCTGGACCTGGGATCCTTAGCTATCCACGGAGGGTGGCCACGGAGGCCTCCCAGCACAGGAGGGGGCGCGGTTCCCAGGCCACCCAAGTCCTTTGTACAACCTGAGGTCACCCTAAGTTGGTGGACGAGGATCCCTTGACCACACACCTTGTCCATCTCTGATCGCTGATCTTGCCCAAGGAAACTGCAACTAGTTCTTTTTTTTTTTTTTTTTTTTTGGTACTGGGAATCGAATTCAGGACCTTGCGCTTGCCAGGCAGGCAGTGTGCCACCAAGCTGTATCCCCTTCTAAGTTTGGGAAAGGAATCTGCGCCCCGCCACCCCAAAGGGCAATCAGAAATGCAAGCAGCACATCGGAATGTGTATTCTGGGGCTCCTCTCTCCCCTGGAGAATCTGCATGGTTTCCTTTAATTGGTCGTCTCTGCCTGTTGGATGGCATTTCCCAAATGGTCCCTCCGGAGCCGGTGTTTTAATTAAAGTTCTAATGTATTGTCAAGTTGGGAATTCGGGGCCTTGTTTGACTAAAGCAGGGGGCGTGAGCTGTCCCATAAAGCAAATTGCCCCTCCCCAGGGAAGCTGAGCTCATCCCCGCGGGCCGGCCTCCTGTCTTTTTTCTGCTTTCTTTCCTTTATTGTCTAACACTTGTCAGACTCCTGGGAAATCAAGGGAAGTCTCCTTTTGAGGTCATAAAATTCTCTGTGATGTAACCGTGCGAAATTATGTAAATAAAGCTGCGGAGGCCTCCTGGAACACACAGAAAGCCGGATCCGCCCACGCCTCAGCCTGTAATTTGGGTAATGAGGATCTCCAGCGCGGGCGTCCCACCTCCTCGGGCCTTGCGCCCCAGAAAAGGGGCTTCTCAGGAAGAATATTTGAAATGTGGGGGGTTTATGAAGAGCGTGTTTAGCCCTTTTCCTTCCTTCTTCCTCGTCTTTTTTCCTGCTTTCCTGCTGTAAGGACTGGGGCTGGGACCAGGTCTGTCAGGAGGAGGCTTGCTCTTCCCCTAACCTGTGTGCTGGGTTGGGGGTTGGGCAGGAGGTTTGGTACCCCGCCCCCGCCAGCGCTCCTCCGGCCTCTGGGAACCCCGCTCTTCCCAAGCTGGCCCAGTCCAGAGCCGGAGGGAGTGCCAGGCAGCGAGAAAGCAAAGGTCCCACTGCGCCCCAACCCTCCCAGAGTCCTGGGTCTGAAGTGCTGTTGGTGGTGTGGGGTGGGGTGGGGGCACGCTGAGCCCCTCAGGGGTCCACGCTCCTCCCGGGGCCTCACGCACTGTCTCCCCGCAGCCCAGGCACAGTCGAGCCTCCTGGGGAAGTGCCGCCGGCCGCGCACAGCGTTCACCAGCCAGCAGCTGCTGGAGCTCGAGCACCAGTTCAAGCTCAACAAGTACCTGTCGAGGCCCAAGCGCTTCGAGGTGGCCACCTCGCTCATGCTCACGGAGACCCAGGTGCGCCGCCGCCGCCGCCGCCGCGAGCCCCGTGCGGGCTGCATGGGGGGGACGTGGCCACCCCCACCTTCCTGGGGAGGAGACGTGCCGCTTGACTAGGATGCAGACTGAGACTCCGGGCGAGGTTCACAGCCGTTGCAGGGGATCTTTATGAGCACCCATCTGTCTAGTTCAGGAGGCTGGGCTGGGACAGACAGTGTGACCCTCCGGCTTTCTAAGGCAGGCACCCCCGGCCACATTTCGTTACTGAGCGAGAGGAGGGGATGCCCTGAGATTGACCGAGCCAGCCGGGCCACCCTGGCCTTTCTGCAGGTGGAGGGTGCAGATAGAAAGCTGGGGACACGGCCTGGCTCCGGGGACTCCCTACTCTGGGGACACGGCCTGGCTCAGGGGTGGGCTGCTGTGTAGGGAGCCGCCATCCCTCGGGGCGAGGCACCCCTTGGGGAGCGCTGCGGCCCCTCACACTGCCGCTGCTCGTACCCGCAGGTGAAGATCTGGTTCCAGAACCGCCGGATGAAGTGGAAGCGCAGCAAGAAGGCGAAGGAGCAGGCGGCCCAGGAGGCCGAGAAGCAGAAGGGCGGCCCGGGCGTGGGCAAGGAGGACAAGGGTGAGGAGGAGCTGCAGGGGCCGCCCGCGCCCGGGGACAAGAACGGCGGCCGCCGGCTGCGGGACTTGAGGGACAGTGACCCCGAGGAGGATGAGGACGAGGACGAAGAGGACCCGTTTCCCTACAGCAATGGCGCAGGTGCCCTGGCCGCCTCCTCTGACTGTTCCTCGGAGGATGAGTGTCCCCCGCCGCAGTAGGGTCCCCGCCGGCCCCTGGGTCACCGAGGGACAGGAAGGAGGCCAGGAAGGCGGCCGGCGGCTTGCGCCTGGACTCGGCACTTTCTCACGCAGTTTCTGGTGCTGGCGGGAGGCTTCGGGAAGCACCGAGCTCCTCCTGACCCGAGCCAGCCCCTTGCTTCCGCACTGGCGGCAACCGACAGTGTTCCAGTGACCTCTGAAACTTGAAACTTCTCTGGAAATGCCATTCTCGGTACAAAAGAAAGAGGGTTTTATGCTTCTGTATCTTAAGGGGAAAAACGTATGTCATGAGCGCTCAAACTGCTGGAAATCTCAAAACTGTACTGTCTTTATTTTTGTATATTGTATTTATATATAAAGAAAGAAATGTCTACTTATGCATGCTAAATTATTATTTAGCTTCTCCCGTCACCCAGGGTGTAATGTAAAATAAATTGGTTTTTTACTGGATGCAAGTGCAAATTTTCTGCAGGTGCCCGAGGCAGCTTTTTGGTTTTTGATTTTTGATTTTCGATTGGTGAAAGGGTGCGCCGAGGGTCTTCCCCAGTAAAGGAATCGCAGCGGTGTCTGGACACCTCTGCTTCTGGGCCCCTGATGAAACCTGACTCTCACAGTTGGGGGTCGCAGGTGCCAAGTGTTGGGGGAAAAATACCTGGGGCCAGGTGTCCATGCTGGTGCGTGGCTGACACCTGTCCCGGGACAAGGCGCTTGGCTCTCCATCGCATAACTTTGGACTCGGTGCGTTTACTTTCCTTGTTGGGTCTTCCTGCTTCCTCTGCGTTCCAGGGTGGAAATAACAATATTTGAACGTGTCTAGAAATAAGCTCTGAACCGGGAGCCTTTGCGCTCCTGGTGTCCTGGGGCACTGCTCGTACCTAGTTCCCGGAATGCATGGGATTGTGTGGGGCTTCTTTCTCTTCCGTGTGCCAGCCGGCGTGCTTGTCTTGGATCTGCACAAATGTCTGAGAGCACAGGCGGGTGCAGGGACGCGCTGCAGGGCTGGACAACGACTGGGGGTTAAGGAGCCTCGAGGTGCATCCATCAATCACCAGGCGGCCAGGCTGTGCGCCAGGTGCGGGGCATGCTGGCCGCCACCCACCACGGGGCTGGGCCTCTCACCTGGGACTGCTCCTGCTTCCCATCGCTGGCCCAGGGGCTGGTCCTGGGCCCGGCAGGGGTCTGAGGGACCAAGCCTCTCCTGCCTGAGGTCTCTGCCCCTGCTCTGGATGGCACTTTCGAAGCAGCACATTCAAGTTCTCCACCTGCCTCCCTGCCCCCAAGGAATGAGATTGGAAGGGCCCGGGCATCCCATTTGGGTGGTTGCTGGGGCAAGCGGGGCACACTTCACCTCTGACGGGGGAGATTAATACCCTCCCTGGGAGCTCACTATCTTCCTGGGCCCCCTGCTTAAAACCCAACCGAGAGAGCTGAAGGTCAGTGCTGGGAGCCAGGCAGACTGGCCGCTGGGCAGGCAGGGCCCCGGCTCGGCACCAGGGCAGGGTTTGTAACCACTGGAGAAGGGAAAGGGCCCAGGAGAGAGTGAGGGAATCAGAAAGAGAGGGAGAAGAGAAGGAAGACAGATGCTTTGGCTGGTGAAAGCAGCCATCAGAGTACTATCTCTTTTTAATTTCTAACACATTGGTGAGGTTCAGCCTGCAGCAGTATCTTCCTGGCTGGCTCACATCTGGGGTTACTTTTCCAGAGCTCAGAGGGCCTGGCCTCACCAGCCCCGCAGCCCCTGGGCAGCAGGAAGGGGGCCAGGCCTGGAGAGGAGGCGTCGGGGCACCCCATCAGTGAGTCAAACTTGGGTGCCAAAAGCCCCGTGAGGTTTGCCCCCCAGCTCAGGGACAGACACTCCTGGGAGGCGGGGAGGAGGAGCACTGACAGGACTCAGCCCCGAGCCCCCCGTCCTCCAGTCCTGCTAGCAAGGCCGGGGTCTGGCGCAGGGACCGCTGCTGGCCCCGGCATCCCCAGCCAGATGCTTAATCACAGCGGAATTCATCTCACTAATAAATTTAATGATCAATTCGTTCTTGTCACAGTAGCTCTTCCCCAAATCAATTATAGCAAATTTAAATATAATCACTGGCTCATCCTCACCCACTCCGGGGCACCTCAAACAATTCATTCTGCCTAATGAATGGTCACTGGTCTCTCTTGGCCCGGGCCGGGTGGGCCTCGGGGGGCTGCTCTGTGCAGCCCCGAGGACCAGGTGCTCAGGACCCAGAACCAGCGTCCACACAGCAGCAGGCAGGTGGGAAGAGTTCCAGGCCTGGCTCCCAGGCAGCCCCTTCACCCTAGACTCCAGCAGGTGCGCCCACCACCCCGGCGCTGTCACCACAGCACTGACAATGAGGACGACAGGACTGGTCCTCGCCGAGGTCTCCACGCCAAGGCGCTCACCGCTGGGACCCCAGCCCGGCTCCACCCTCCAGAGACACAGCTGGGCACATGTTTCCTAGGACTGGAGGGAGGAGAGGCTCTCACAAAAGCAGGCAGATAAATTCCTTGTTGTGACAGCAGGAAGCAGACACGCCTTTCCAGCCCTGCTGCGGGTGAGAGGCTCCACAGAGACAGGTAAGTCCGAGGTCAGGAAGGGCAGACATTTTGGTAAGGCTGGAAAGAAAAAGAAAACGGGCCTGACCCCTCCGTGCTAGCCTCTGTCTTCCTGGGTGTCAGGTCGGACTGCGCTTCGAAAGAGTAGCTCATAAGATTCTCCAGCTTCAAAACCACAGACAGCAAATCAAAAACAAACAAACGGGCTACATGGGAGGCAGAAGCCCCCGTGCCACCGGAGGCTTCCTGGGAAGCCAGAAGCGTGTGCCAGCCACCTTCCTGTGGGGATGGGCCAACACCTGGAACACACAAGAGCTTCTACCAGAACCCTGGACGTAAGGTGTGCACAAAGGACCCGAGCAGACACTTCTCCCGGGAAGACAGACAGCTGGCCCACAGGGATGGGGAAAGACGGCCCCACTGATCATCCCAGCCTAAAGCTTGCCGGCCCTGCCTCGCAGGAAACAACGGGCGCTGGCCAGGCCGTGGGGAAACCAGAACCCTGGCCCTGTCCGCGGAGGGAATGTGAAGTGATTCCCCTTTCTGGAAGAAGCCGGGGAGGGCCTCCCGGTGCGGGAAGCAGGACTGCGGGTCCTGGCGCTGGTGTGTGCCCACGAGGACTCGCAGCAGGACCTCGAAGAGAAGCCCGCACGTCCTCAGAGCGTTCCGGTGGGAAGCAGCGTGACCGTGACCGCGGCAGCCACGAGGGACAGGCAGGACGCGGCCCCGGTGTCGCTCGGCCTGCACAGGAGGGCCAGCCCGCCGCACGGGGCAGCGAGGAGCGGCCTGCGGACCCTGCGCTAACCGAAGCCGACCGGGCCGGCCCGCAGGACGCCCTCCCCGAGGTACCCGACCCAGGGCGGGCGGCGGACAGGAGAACGGGCGCCGGGACTGGCGGGAC